GCACATTTCGTGCTGACATATACAACGTAATTTACGAGACCCGCATATACGCGCATTTTAGCACGCGTATATATGGGTCCTTGTAGGACGCGTCTATTTGGGCATTTATTTCGCATATCTCCGCGCTTGAATTCACGCAAATATGTGGCCCTTCAAAAATGCGTATATACGCGATCTAAATGGTCGTATATATGAGCTTAAAGTCCATACGTAACGTATGTAAACAAGTATACGCGGCAGAAAAACCCGCGTATACCCTGTCGTAATTTTGAAACGAATGGCCAACCATAGAGATCAAGTAGGGGATATTTTCTAGAATCAAAATAGGGTTGAATGGCACAGTTGCAGGATGTCGTCATTTGTCTACAACTACATTTTGTTTCTCCTTTATTATTTAAATCTTTAGTTAAACCACATCGAGGTGGGAAAAAGAAAAAGTAAAGGATTATGGTACTGTACTAGTCAACTGAAGTTTCACCGACCACGTGACCAAAAGAACGGAGTCCCTTTCCTCGTGCCAAGTCCCCGAGATAGACAATAAATTTACACTAGATTTACACGAAAGCGAGGTTGGTTTCTCGTGATTGTGCAATAATCTCCCCGTCTCTGTCCTTTTCTCTCTGGACGCCATTAGGGCAACAGTACATCAGTGTTGTGTGCCAGAGAAACAACAGAGCTACCAACATGGTGAGTAACCATCATGGCTCCATCGTATTCAATCTACAAAACTTGGCATTCAGTGACTTGAACTGAATGGTGATTTCTGTAATTTTCGAAAAATAAGAAACAATATTCAGTATCGGAAGAAAGTTACTACGCCATTTTAGACCGGTTCCTGCTTGATAAAAGCGATGTACATATGAGTATTTGTATTCTTCATTCTGGGCTGTTGGTTATATCTTACACTAAGATATTCTTTATTGATTTTTTTCAGCCGAACTTTACGATAGACCAGGTAAGTGAAGACGAAGTATAAATTGTGTTCTTGATTTAAGCCTGTCTACGGAGCGAGAAACGTGGACCCGAAGTTTAGAGAAAAAAGATGAAGTAGGATACATCTTATAATTGTCAACTTTAATAGTTAGGATTTGAAGACAAGAAGAGTGCTTTGGTTTATAACACTATGGACTTCGCCAGATCGTTAGGTTTTCCGAAGAATCATGGCAACATCTTCGAACACAGATTTCATATATTATTAGATTAGCTTACGGTATTTTTTTGTGGATTGAATCAAAGTCGTCTTATGCCAAATAACGTGTTTCCAAACTGTGCTTATCAGACTATTTTTCGCGATCATTACGTTTAACGAGCTTGATTTAAATATAATTTGATGTATTTGTCTGCCTTGTCGCTGGATAAACACGTTTCTAATTGCTAACAAAAAGATCAGCAGTAGAATGGAATTTCTTTTACAACAAATTAAATCCCAAGGGAATGTGAAATTAGTCTACGGTCCAAGAATCTGTAACGGCTCTTTGTTGTAGAATTTTTTTTAAAATAAACATCTGTCATGTACACACTACTTAACATTGACAAATGGCAAATGACAATTTTTGGGGTAGAATAGGCGATTTGCACGATGGCGTTGTTGGACTGCAAGGACCAGAATCCTTCAATTTTTCTTTTCCTTGTGTTAATTAGACCAGACTTCAAGGCTTTTTAAATTCCACGCCATGCGCCTGGCAAGCAACCAATGTCTATTGCCAAAGAATGCTATTAAACACCACCCTATCAGGGCTAACGAACAGCCATACTCCCAGTCTCTCTCTCATTGGTATGCTCAAATAATTCCAATTTTCTTGAATAGATCGTATAAGAGGCCCATTATTGGCCAGGACACAGTATTCAATATAGGGAAAAGAGAAGTTAGGAAGCCATAGTTATCATGCCAAGTCGCCTTATCAGCACCAGCAAATAAATATGGGCATGCCATCATACACCAAAATTTTCAATTGCACACTGGTATGCTGCAAAATTTCTAAGGCCACACCAAAGATCTTCGTTGTAACCTACACTGTTGTATATGCTCTTTTGGGACAACCTATCTTTGACTTAACTTGAGAAAGGACAGTCAGTTGACCAGTTTAAGAACTAAATTGCTGATAACAACCTTTTCTGATCCTGCCATAGATCCGTTCCATCATGGACAAAAAGCATAACATACGCAACATGTCTGTTATTGCTCATGTCGATCATGGAAAGTCTACACTAACAGATTCTTTGGTCAGCAAAGCAGGAATTATTGCATCAGCAAAAGCTGGTGAAGCAAGGTTTACCGACACCAGGAAGGATGAACAAGAACGTTGCATCACCATCAAATCAACGTAGGTTTTTTCTTTTTATTTTATGTACTGCAGTCATGTGTTTTCTATAGAAATTTCTCTGTTAGCAAATTCTTGACTCCCGACACCACATAATTAGAATTCTACTTCATTTCAGGGCCATCTCTATGTACTATGAACTGAGGGATGAAGATTTGGCATTTATAGAGGGTGAACGAGAGGGCAAGGGCTTCTTGATTAACCTGATTGATTCACCAGGACATGTAGATTTCTCATCAGAAGTCACAGCTGCTTTACGTGTAACTGATGGTGCCCTTGTTGTTGTAGACTGCGTTAGTGGTAGGTGTTAAAAATTGATTATTAATTTTGAACCAGAAAAACTACAGGAGAGTTTTATTCATCTGTTGGTCTTTCACTATTTTTAGTACTGTTGTCAACAAAACTTCACAGAGTTAAATCAATTCAGTGTGAAGCAATCTACTAGAAACAGTACCTAATCACAGATGGACAGACAGACAATTTCATTCAACACAGTATCTCTTCAATTACAAAGAATTGGCTTCCAAGAAAGCTGCGCTAAGAAATTACTAAACACAATACAATTACAAAATTTCATGATAGAAGAAAATTACTAGTGTTAATTACTATTGTGGAGACTGAGTGTGCAAAGAGATTTATGAAATAACTTAAGAGACTGTTCTGCTTTCATTGCATTTGGAAGAAAACTCCATAGGTTAGCACCACAATATAAAAAACTCATTTTCAAGCTTTCAGTTTTGGGTTTCTGCATTGCTAAATTGTTGCTACAGTTCTCTGAGATAGTAAGCAGTGCTGTCTTGAATCAGGTTAAAGACCTCCGTAAGGTACCCAGGAGCTTTGTTATGCATAATTTTATGCATTATGATCACATTATGATGTTGACCTCAAACTCCAAGAGTATTCCACTGAAGCATTCTCAAAATGTCTGCACATCTATTTTCCCAGTCAGTTGAGTGATGATCGGAGCTGCCCAATAGCTGTTATTGAAGTTATCAGCAGTTTGACATATAAACAAGGTGAAAGGGTCAATTCTGCTTTGTATTGACCAGTTCGCCTTGTTTGTATGCCTTTTTCAAAGGAATATTTGCTGCAGGCTCAACTGCAATAACAGCTATTGTAGAGTTTCTCAAGTCTGTCTGATAGGCCATTGTTTAGACCTGACTAGACAACATCACAGGTATCAAAAGTAGGGAAGAACTAATGATTTAAAAATTTTAGTCAAGAGTTCGTTCAGGACAAAAGGTCTAACCAGTTTTAATCCAGCAATGACTTAAGATGTCTTCTTAGCAATGTGGTCATTGTGATTCAACCATGATAGATAATCGTCAATATGAATGCCTAAAGATTTGGCTGCTTTAACTCTCTTTATCAGATCATCACCCAGTCTTATTCGGAAGAGAAACGTTAGTTGGGCGGCTTTGTGATTAGAGCAAACAAAAACATATTCCGTCTTAACTTGGTTTAAACTTAACTTGTTGGCAATAAGCCACAGCCCAATATTTTCTAATTCATTATTAACCAAATTTTCTAACTCTCTAAAGCAAGTTGCTGTAACGGTTACATTTGTATCATCAGCAAACATCCACGCTTTAGAGCAATATAGAGAACAAGTCAGTAATGTAGTTAAGAAATAATAAAGGCCCTAGAATTGATCCCTGGGGCTTTCCACAAGAAATTGGTTTACCATTGGATAGAAAAATGTTCAATTGGCACCTGTGCTAGTTGTGTGATTCTTGGAGCCCTTGATACTCGGGCCAAACACTGAACATCTCATGCCCTGTCCTTACTATTCTGTTCCATATGAACAGTCTCACTTTGCTATATATTCACACCAAAACACTGAAAACATTTGTTTGACTGTGTACACTTGACAAGTGGCTCTGGGTCACTGGATCAAAAATAAATTGATCATTTTGTGGGCAAATTAATCTGTTTTGTGCAAATGTGGAGATAATCCAGAGCTGAATTCTGAGAGGGTGGTTGACAAAGTGGTATTGCTATCTTACAAGTTGTTCTCTTCATGTTCCTTGCTATGCATGTTACAAAAACATTGCTTTCTTAACTTGTCAGGTGTCTGTGTCCAGACTGAGACAGTGCTGCGACAAGCTATCAGCGAACGTATTAAGCCTGTTCTTTTCATGAACAAAATGGATCGTGCATTACTAGAACTTCAGTTGGAGAAAGAAGATCTTTACCAGACCCTTCAACGAATTGTGGAGAGCATCAACGTGATTGTGGCAACTTATGCTGATGAAGACGGTCCAATGGGAAATATTCAGGTCAGAGCTTGTCAGTTTTCAGTAGTGATACATTTAACTGTAATTTTTTTTGTACAACATAAAAATCTGTATTTGCCTTAGGGTTAGCTCCAATCACATACAGTACCAAACAATGCTAGTGTTCACACTTCTTTTTGTATTCTTTGGAACTTAATAGATATTAATATATTTACCTGTGGGGAGGCGTGGTGGCCTCATGGTTAGTGCAGTCGTCTCTGGATCGAGTGGTCAGTGTTTGAGCCCTGGCCGGAGACATTGTGTTGTGTTCTTGGGCAAGACACTTTACTCTCACAGTGCCTCTCTCTTCACAGGTGTATAAAAGGGTACTGTTGAAATTAATGGTGGGGGTAATCTTGCAATGGACTAGCATCCCATCCAGGGGAGAGTAGAAATACTCCTAGTCGCTTCATGCTGTGGAAACCAGGATAAGCTCTGGCCTGATGGGCCACTTGGCTGGTATACAGACTTAACCTTGCAGTACGTATGCATTTTTTTTTTTTTATCTAGGTGTATCCTGAGAAAGGTACTGTGGGATTTGGTTCAGGACTTCATGGCTGGGCATTTACTCTAAAGCAGTTTGCAGAAATTTATAGCCAAAAGTTTAAGATTGAACCAGCAAAGCTTATGAAACGACTATGGGGGGACCAGTTCTATAATCCGTCAACAAAGAAGTGGAACAAGTCTGAAGGAGATGGCTTTGTTCGTGGGTTTAACCAGTTTGTCTTGGACCCAATATACAAGGTGAGGTGAATTTTGCTTGTGAATTTGTCTTATCATGAAGTCATATTACAAAATGTGGTTTCTTTAGTATCGTATGGTTCCATGGCCCTGTCAGATCACCTTGAAGCAAGGTTTCTTACGTGTCACTTTGGTTAGCACCCGCTTCCAATCTAGTGGGCCTGAGTTAGATCCCAGGATTCATTGACGTTTCTTTTTTCTGTCCATTTTTTAAGTCAATGGTCTTTTTTCTTTTCTTGTTCCACCCATGTTTCGGTGAAGAACATCCACATGTAGCTTCATGTACTTATTTCAAGGTTGGAACCAACAAGAACACAGTTTTGATGTTACATGACCTTGCTGTTTTGCGTAATCAACCTAAAATTGCATCTAATGGTTTACATGTGGTGCGTTCATAATTTGTAATTTAAAAAAAACCTTGATTTTTCCGAAGATCTTTCGCAGCTACTCGGCGAGCGGAGTTGCTTTGATTTTATTCGCAACCTATTCACACATGATCTAACAGGGCTGAGGTGCATAAAGCAGACTACGCTTTTGTCTTCAGGCAAGAAGAAAAATTTATTAAGCAAGGCAATGAGGAGTTTACAATGTAGAGTGCATGGCTCATTCGAGAATGAGTAAATCCATCAGAGCAACGCAGCTCATGTAGTGGAGGTTTGCCACTTCTTGTACTCCATGAAGTATGCATGAAAAGTCTTTCTTTATAACCAGTTTTGCCAGAAGTCAATATGGTTACTTGTATAACTAGAATAACCCGTAAGCCACACATGTCAATCATCATCCACTGGGAAATCGGTGGGTTTGCTTATAGAGCACTTTGATTGAAACCTTTTTTCCCACGACTTTTCCTGTGTGGTGCTTTCTTCGCACTTGCAAATGGACACAAACTTTTGCATTTCGTCAAGGGCATATTTAAATTTCAATCAACAATCTTCAAACAGAGAACACTTGGAACAGCTCGTCGACTTCTTGTCTGTGTAATGTTGCATGATTTAAATCTGTATGAACCTGGGCAGCATGCTAGGCAAATTTGAATTTAATTTGCAAAAATGCTTGAGGTATATGGCAATCAGTATTGGATTATTTTGCAGCAACTTTGCAAAATTGCATCAAAAAGAACATCTGCTTTGACTGAAATGACTACTGCATTCAGCATTCCTTGCAGCACTCTGCTCTGCTATACTTCTGAAATAATCCCCTGAGCATGTGTGCTGAAAGTCTTTTTTAAAGTGAACCACAATTTATCCAAGGGGTCTTCTTAGTGGAAGCCAAGTGAAAAGTGCTAAAGATGTTGCAATAGGCCTTTCGCAGCTAAGCCATCACACGACCTATTTTTCATAAAATTATGGGCTATAACTTAACAAATGCCAGAAATGGAAAAAGCGTGTCGAAAATATCAAAATGGCCAAGTTTGAGGCCCCCATCATTAAAGAATGAGATTTTATGACAGTCTGAATTTTTAAAAGAATAAGAAGATTTGTATGGAAAAAGTTGTTGGAGAGCAAGGTCTTGCTTTCCAGCAACATTTTCCATACAAATCTTCTAAATTTTCCGAAAAATCAAACGGTCGTATAAACTTAGTCTTTAATGCCAGGGGCCTCAAACTTGGCCATTTTGGTATTTTTGATGCACTCTTTCCATTTCTGGCATTCTTCAAGTTATAACCCATAATACAGAAATTTCTAGGAAAAAATTGGTCACATGACCCGAGCTGCAAAGGGCCTATCCTTTGGAGTTTTGGAAAAAAAATCATATTTCTACAGTCTGTTGTCTTCATCTTCAGTTGCAAGATAAGTTGTGACAAGAGAGAAAAATATATTGCAACAAGACAGAAAAGAAGTGAACATGCTTCAACACAGCTTTCTTAATAGCTATTCTGGTATATTGTGTCATAAATGTCTTGTGTCACTGATTGTTAAAAATCTTTCTTCTTTGAACAATGGTTTTCTTGGATAATAACAAATCAAACATGCACCAAGCACTGTCATTGAGAAAGAATTCGTAGGATCATGAACTTTCTTTTAACTTTATTTTCTGTGCTTGGTTTAGATGTTTGATGCAATCATGAATTTCAAGAAAGAGGAAACTGCTAAACTGCATGGAAAGTTGAATATTAAACTATCTGCAGAGGAGAAAGAACTTGAGGGTAAACCGCTGTTAAAGGTAACCATGAAGAAGTGGCTCCCAGCTGGAGACGCCCTGCTTCAGATGATCACCATCCATCTGCCTTCTCCAGTGAGGGCTCAGAAGTACCGCATGGAGATGCTTTACGAGGGACCTCATGATGACCCTGTTGCCCTTGGAATAAAAAACTGTGACCCCCAGGTGAGGGATAACATTCAGATATTGATTAAAGTGCCTATGGCCCCCAAACGTTTTTAAAGGGGGATTAAATCTTTGTATTGCATGGAGCAAAATGCCACAAAAAGTTTTGTTTTTTTGGTTAAAACTACGATTTTTTTATGAATTTATTAACTTTAAATTATTCAGGACACGACCGAGAGCAACAGAGACTGGGGCTAGTGACATCAAACAGGGATATTGGCACCAGTTTTGAACTGAAGAGTAAAGTAGTAGATATTGGAGAGTAGTAATGAATCTCCATGGTATGTCAATGAAATGTGAAAAGTGAACTGATCAACATGACACAAGTGTGGGACAAAGAAAAAGTCTGGGTCCCCGACAGGAATTGAACCCACAACCTCCTGAACACTGGGCGGGAGGTCAGGAGGTCATGGGTTGGACTCCTGTCAGGGACTCTGACTTTTTCTTTGTCCCATGCATGTGTCATGTTGATCAGTGCCTGTTTCACATTTCATTACCGAGCTTAAAATTCTCCATCTCTATTCACTTATGTCAATGAATTAATTTACCAAAAAAACTCTTGCATGTGTTGTGTGCCTATGTTTCTAGTTTGGAAAATGTTTTCTGTTTCAAAATTAGAGCGTGCAAACCATCACACCCTAGGATGTCACTGTAACAATCATTTCCAGTGTTATGTTGTTGCTGTGTTCAAGAAATAATGGAAATAAAAAACCGTTTGCACTTGACACATTCACTTTCAATCGTTGCGAGTGTTTTTGCTCTCTAATTTTCAACAAATTGATGAGCATTTTTTATTATGACTCGGTGCTGTTATAAACAAAGCTAAAATGTTTCATTGACCCCCGTCTTGTTCCATGCCTGAGTGCATCACAGAGTATGGCAGGCAAGTGAACCTCCTTGTTTTAATCCCAGGCAATCAGTTTGTATGATTTTACATGGCATCCATAGCAAAGAAAAAGCATAAATATTCAGTCTGCGTAATTAAAATATTTAAACATTGAGGAAGAGGTAATTTTGTATTCATTGCAAGAGAAAATGTGCATATAGCATATTTTGAGATTTCAGTGTTTATTTTTAATGCTATTTTCATTTTCTTTTATTTGTGTCCAAATCAGAAATTTCAGTGCAAAAACTTTCCGTTACAGGTCATTTCCCACGTTCGCAGGACACCAAATGGAAAACGTGTTAACCTATGAAATTTGAAATCCCAGTGAACTATGTTTAAATGTACTGGTTTCTTTTTGTTCAGAAAGGTAGATTATGCTTCATGGCTTTGTTGTGACACATCAAATCTTATTTTGTCTTTTATAGGGTCCACTTTGTCTTTATGTCTCCAAGATGGTTCCAACTGTAGACAAAGGTCGCTTCTATGCCTTTGGGCGTGTCTTTTCAGGAATAGTTTCAACAGGACAGAAAGTACGCATCATGGGCCCAAATTATGTACCTGGAAAGAAAGAAGATTTGTATCAAAAGAGCATCCAAAGGTTAGTAATGGAATGCTAACAGAGTTTCCAAACAACAGCATTTATTGGTTCCAACCACTGTTGCAGTTACATGAATCATGAAACATAGTACATTGTTGTATAAACATGAGTGTTTTACTTGAGAATACACCAACATTAAAAATTCATATGAAACCACATCTGGAACTTAGGTGAAGTGTTTTTCATATTCTCACTAGTGAAGATATAGATGACTTCACTGATATCATTGTAATTCTAATGAGCAGCGAGTATCAAGAGTTGAGTCATGTTTCAAGTAAATCAAGACTGGATGTTTGAATTGGGATACTTGTGAGAATCAAAAATCAAGAGTCAGCTTATATTTGCCTGGTACTGAAAGATCAAAATAAATTTTAAACTGATCATGACTGTCCCATAATAACAGTGATCAGCATTGGCTTGAGTGGAACTTAGTCTAAATTACTGTTAGACACAAGTAAAACAAAGATTATACAATCAGTATTCACAGTACATCTTGCTAACCGAGTTTGCGGGCTGTTCTGTGAGTTTCTACTTGCACAGAATGGCTTCAAATTTCTGATGCACCTCGAAAGCAAAACAATTCAATTTAAAATCATTGTTACTACCATTTTTGAGCTACTGTGAACAGCGAACTTTTTTCTGCGTT